CCTGTCCCCTGGTGTGCGGGCACGCCTGGCCCATGCCGCACACCCCCCGCCAGGCTAGGCCTGGGCGGGTGGGGGGGGGCGGGGACTGCCCCCCCTTAAAGAGCTAACAAATTTTTCCAGGCCTGCCACCAGTAGCCATTGAAGTGTCTGAAATGGGGACACTTTTTTCTTTCGGCTATAAAATCCTATGTGGTTGGAATTTGGATCTGATTTTTTGCAGGGATGCCAACATAAATACAAGGAAGGAGTGGACAAAATTTGAGGGCCTAACTCCGAGCAGAAAAATTTTAAAAATTCCCGAACATCGAGAAACCTCGAAAATCGTAAAAATTAGGAAACGGGTCATCGGGGCATGAAACTTCACCCAAAGGCTCCTGGGACCCCATAATGAATTTACAAGCCATAAAAACGGTGTTGTGCTTGCAAAAAGCACGCATAAAAGAAGATCTCGTGCGGGGGCCCCGGGGGGCACTGGCTGCTGGCGGGCAGCAGCAGCAGGGGCAGCGAGCTGGGGCTGTGTGCCAGGCAGCAGCAGCAGCAACAGCGACTTGGCTTCTGGCAGGCAACAGCACCAAGCTCGGGCTGTGTGGTGCCAGGCAGCAGCAGCGGGAAGACCGACCTGGGCTGCTGGCAGCAGCGGCACCAAGCCCGGGCCGTGTGGTGCCAGGCAGCAGCAGCGGGGAGACCGACCTGGGCTGCTGGCAGGCAGCAGCAGCGGCACAAAGCCCGGGCCGTGTGCTGCCGGGCAGCAGCAGCGGGAAGACCGACCTTGGCCGCTGGCCTGCACCAGCAGCGGCACCAAGCTCGGGCCGTGTGCTGCCAGGCAGCAGCAGCGGGAAGACCGACCTGGGCTGCGGGCAGGCACCAGCAGCGAGACCAAGGTCGGGCTGTGTGGTGCGAAGCAGCAGCGGCAGGAAGGCAGACCTTGGCTGCTGGCGGGCACCAGCAGCAGCGGCACCAAGCTCGGGCTGTGTGCTGCCAGGCAGCAGCAGCGAGACCAAGCCCGGGCTGTGTGGTGCCGGGCAGCAGCAGCGGGAAGACCGACCTCGGCTGCTGGCAGGCAGCAGCAGCGGCACCAAGCCCGGGCAGTGTGCTGCCAGGCAGCCGCAAGGCCGAGCTGGGCTGCTGGCAGGCTGCACCAGCAGCGGCACCTTGCTCGGGCCGTGTGCTGCCAGGCAGCAGCAGCATCAGCAGGAAGATAGACCTCGGCTGCTGGAAGGCAGCAGCAGCGAGACCAAGGTCGGGCTGTGTGGTGCCAGGCAGCAGCAGCGGGAAGACCGACCTGGGCTGCTGGCAGGCAGCAGCAGCGGCACCGAGCTCGTGCTGTGTGCCAGGCAGCAGCAGCAGCAGCAGCGGCTCAGAGCTCGGGCTGTGTGGTGCCAAGCGGCAGCAGCAAGACCGACCTTGGCTGCTGGCGGGCAGCCGCAGCGAGCTGGGGCTATGTGGTGCCAGGAAACAGCAGCAGC